GTCATGAGAGAGGATATGCAGACTAACTAACTATGCTCCAATTCAACACATCTGGAAGCTACCGAAGATCAAATAAGAGAATCATACAGGACACATCATTTGAAGCACAGAATTCTCATATTACTATTATTTTTCCATCAGGTTTGCACAGACAGTTAGACAGAGGGGGATCCATCATGCCAGATCGGGGGGTAGCGTTGCTCGTTCGCTTGCGGCGCCGGCGGCGCGAATTGGTGGGGCTGCGCTCTCTTGATTTCCCCAAGGTCGTCGGGTAGATGGCGATCACGCGTCTCCTCACCTGATGCAAACAACAGAGTCGATTTCTGATGACAAGAAAGCGTAGGCGATTTACTTTGTTTGTTTGGATCTGAAGAGAGGAAGTACCTGCAGCGACGTGGGCGCGGTGCTCGTGGACGATCCTTGCGGACTCCAGAGGCGAAGCGATGAGCGATGATAGCAGAACGAAACAGATGAAGATGTTGGCCATGGCCATGGGGATAGTCTTCGTCATGATGATGGATTTGGTTCTTGCAGCTTCGATGTGCCTCCTTTTAAGGTGAAGTTCAGTGGGAAGAATATGAGGATAATTTGTAATGTGGTAGGAGTATTATAGATGTCCAATAATAAAAAGGACGCGCATAACGCGTGACCCTTCCCCCTAATGGCCGCGGCGCGGCGTAATGTGTGCACACAACGGCGCAAGGGTCTCTGCACGACCGTCACCGTCCATCCTGAAACGAACGGTGTGACGTATAGTCATCCAATAAGGATGCGCATAGCACGTGGCCGTTCCCCCTAATTGCCGCAACGCGAAGTAAAGCATGCATGCAAAGGTTTATGTGTGACCATATAGGCGAAACGTCGTGTCACCCTCCTTGACCCCTGTCAAACGAGAGTGAGTGTAGCGCATCGATGGTGAGCCCCGCAAACAAATGGGCTGAGCCACAAGCTTTTGCAATAATATGCCAAAAAAGACATTACTTTTCTACCTAACTACAACAAAACCACAGCTTGCCCGCAGAGTACCTCACCGAAAAGAAAAACTCACAGGTAAAAAACTAGAAAACAATCACTTACTTTGTCTCAATTCAATCTATGCAATAAATAAATAAAGTTACCATATATTGTATGTGTCTGTGAGGGTGCTCATATTACCATGTTTTCCTAAAATCTTCAACAACCAGTCAATATAAACAAACTCAGTCTGCCATGTATCAAAAAACTAGTAAAAAAAGTATGCCTATTTGTATTAAACCGTTAAACTAAAAAGAAACTATCATGCCTGATTTGCATGTGACAAATCATGGTGTGCATGAGCATTACCGACATATCTACAAATAAGTTGTTCGCTGAAAAACCCTAACTTCATATAAAAAATAGTTTGCCATGAGTTTGGCATAATAGTGACTTGTCTAAAATTATAATCATATAGCCTGTTTGTGAAATGAAACGAAGTATGGTCCGGACACCAATAATGCTACATGCACGGGCCCTTTACGAGGTTATTACAGAGTTGATCCAGTTGGCAGATTATGGTTGGCGATTTGAGAAAAGTCGGTCCACACACCCC